GGCAGCCATGCGCAGGTAGGCCACGTCCATGCGGTGACCGCACTGTTGGGAAATCTTGGGGGCGACATCACATTCATAGTGAAAGAACAGAAAAAAAAATCCCCAAATTTCCAAATATGTGTTCGTCGTCGTGCGAAGATTGATACGCAAAAATCCACGAAACTTAAAATTGCGTATAAGATAGATTGTGTTATCTAGGGAGATTGTATATCCTTGAATCTATACAAATCTCTAGGAGAGGGTGAAGGAGGTCAAGTGTCATCCTCTCTAGCGGTAAACTAAACATACAAAGAAAAATATCACAAGAAGTAAAGAACTCCTTGAGATTATTCATACTGATATGGACCGTTCCATATTCCTTGTTTTAGTGGAGAAATATATTTCATCATATTTATAGATGACCTGTCCAAATATGATAATGTTTATCTAATACATGAAAAGTCTCGGGCCGTTAACACTTTTGAAGTATACATAAATGAGGTCGAGAGACAATTAGATAGAAAAGTTAAAATTATTAGATTTGAAAAGGGTGGTGAATTTTATGGCAGATATAATGAATTGGTTAGAATATTGGTCATTTTGTTAGATTCCTAGAACAACAGGGTATTTGTGCTCAATATGCATTACCAAGTGTACCACAACAGAATGGTATTGCTGAAAGGAGAAATCGTACTCTTATGGATATGGTTAGGAGTATGATGAGTTATTCCTCTATGCTTTCAATGTGGGGTGAAGCTCTTAGGACAACTATATATATCTTGAATAGGGTTCCTAGTAGGTCAGTTCCATCAACTCCATTTGAGTTATGGACTAGTAGGAAGTCCGGTTTGAGATATTTACATATTTAGGGATGTCCTATAGAAGATAAGTATTCAATCTATATATTTAGGGATGTCCTATAGAAGATAAGTATTCAATCTATACAAAAGGAAATTGGATCCGATCAAGTGAGGTCCGACACTTTCGGTCAACTCCATTAGTCGTTTAGTCGGGCACTTGGGTTTGTTAGACTTTCCTAATCAAATTCTCAAATCTAATTGTGGACGTCCTTAAATGGATCATCTTTCACCCACAAACATATGACGAGATTAAAAAAATATCACAAACAAACTTCTTTTTTACTTTTCGCAAAAGTTTTATAGCGCTGTTGTCTAAGCTTTAACATCCTCAAAAGTGGAGGATGAATGAAGGAATAATACTGCTTATGCTTTATGCCGATGATAATAAACACTAGAAACAACAAACATTAGAAAGAGTTGTAAGCATAAAATTTTTAATATGCTATATTAAATACGAAAATAATTTTTTTTATGTAAATCTTTGTGTGATCTACAAATGTACCGTCTTTAGATCCAAGATCGTTGTCAATATGCAAAGAGAACAAGATCCTTCTTGTCTTTTCCTATCCTTTCACAAGTCCACTTAAACTGATGGTTAGGGAGAAGAGAGGATCTTGTCTTTTCCTATCCTTTCACAAGTCCACTTAAACTGATGGTTAGGGAGAAGAGTTGAGAGAGAGACTGTAATCCCTCAACTGAATCCTTTATGAGATGCGTAACCTCTGTCGTCTAGTCCCTAGAGGTCCTGACTATTTATAGACGAGAGCAAAAGGTCTAGGATAAATTATTAGGAGAGTTTCTCCCATCAAGGGCATCCGTTAAGGAATCCTACTATAATATAGATTTCCTTTCTATTAGCCAATATATGTCATTAGAATCCAATTATTTTCATTATATATCTTATCCAATTATAAAGGGTCATAGAATCTAACATTCTCCCACTTGGTCCATTAATTGATAAGATATAAAAGATATTCAAAATCAAAATAAATAAAACAAAATTTATTTAAAAATAATTTTACCTAATTGGATTCTCAAGAATTTTGAAAAGCATTTTATATATGGTCATGGATTTTAAAAACAAGCCAATAAGTCTAATAAATATAATAATACTATATTAAGTCTAACTATTAATGTGAGTCATAGTGATTGTATATCATCAATGTCATACTCCATTCTATTTACCACAATATTATTAGTATTTTCTAATATTGTCCGTACTGACCCCTAGCCACCATTTACCTTGTGCAAAACTTTCTCTATTCATTGGGTCAAAACGGTGGTTATGTTGCTTCCGCGCTTCCCGTGTAGGATGATATGTTTGCCTTTGCAGTAGAATTTTATAATTAACTTAGAGAAGTTCCAAGAGACATCACCTAGCATCGTCAACTATTGTATGGCCTCATAGTCATCAATTGGTAGGAGGAAGAAGTCGGTGATAATTTCTTGGTCTTGTAGTAATAGTTTCACTTATGGACATCTTTGGTCGCACTTTAGGACTCTTCCGTCGGTGACCTTTATGTCGAACTTGCTGTAACCTTCGATGTGGAGCATCATCCGAGTAGCAACCTTACTATTTAGGAAGTTATTAGTGCTGCTCGTGTCGATGAGAATAGTGATCGGTTGTTGTTTGAGAAGACTTTCATCGTTTGCGGGTTTGAGAAGCCGGCTAGTGCGTGTACTGTAAAGTCGGTTGGTTATGACTCTTCTTCCACATCTTCTTCATGTTCAAGGCTCTCTTTTGGATGTTCAATGATCTCTTCTTCTACTGGTTCAATCACAAGAAGTCCCCCTTTTTTATAGCGATGCTCGCGGCTCTATAGCTCGTTGTAATGCCAGCATGACCCCTTCGCAGATCGCTCCCGAAGCTCTTCTCTTGTCAACCTTTTTGGTGCAGGGGCTCGGTTGATAGTAGGGGGAGCTGAGGGCTTCAGTATTGCTAGTCGGGGAGCGACTCTACTCCTTCGGGCTTTATGGTTCAATCGATCCTCTTGAAGTCATGCGAAAGAGATGACTGCCATAAGTATGTACGGTTGTCATGCTATAACTTCTCCCCAGATCTCTCGCTTCAAGCCCTAAATGAAAGTCCATAATAGCTATTTTTCAGACCAATCATGAGTTTAATTAAATAACTTTTGAAACTTGGTTTGGTACTCTTGAATGGTGGAAGTTTGTCGGATTTTTGCTAATTGTCCGTCAATGTTCTCGTAATCGGTTGGTCTGAAGCGGATTAGCAGTCCTTTGAATTATTGCCATGAGAGGACTTCATGAGTGTGTTCAAACCAGTTAAACCACTGTATGACATCCCATTCAAGATGTATAGCCGTAATTTCCACCGTAGATGTGTCCGCGGTTTTGTGGTACCGAAAATATCGCTCCGCGCACGAGATCTAACCAATCGGGTCTCCTTCTTCCCATCTAGGGAAGTCCACCCTCATATGTGGATAGTTGGGATCGGCCATAGAGCCTCCCCTCTCTTGGAAGTCATCTCTTCAGGATTGGTGTGATTGGTCAGAGCTCTCTCCTTGATGTGATTTCTTCGGGCTTGGTGGTCAGCCCAAACTGAGTTCGGTAAAGAGAGTTCGAATCTTATCATCTATTCGCGTCTCAAAGGCTTCAAATTTAGTATTGATTATCTCCTCCGATGCCATAATATATGCCTCCAAATCTGTAATGTTCAGATTTCTCTTTTGTTGTCGAGTTAAAGACATGTATAGGTTGAGAGAAGTGGTAGTCGAAAGGGTTGGTAGATTGGTGGATGTAGGCTGCAAGTTAGGCTTGTTTTGTGGTTGTTTTGGATATAGTTTGAGGGAGTGGTTAAAGGTTAGGAAAAAAAGTTTTAGATATGTGGTAGATGGCAACAAAGGTTTGATAGAAATATGTGGAAGTTGCTGCAGATATGTGTTGTCTTGTAAGAGTAAAATTGTCCTCAAAGAAATAGCGATTTCTCGACGAAATTTCCAACAAAAACCGAGAGATTTGAGGAGGGAATTTGATAGCAAAATCTCGGTTTATATAACAACAAAAATGACCAATTTAATCAAGAAAATTTTGACAGTATAACAATAAGGAAATTGATGAAAGTTGCGATAGCATAATTCTCGTCGAAAAATTTCAGCGATTTACGATGAAAATTTACAACAACACAAGAATGTTTTTAGAGATGAATTCCTCAATAGATCAATCTTAGATGGAGGCCAAGATGATCTATCAAGTGTATAAGAAATTTCATGCAAAAAGGATTGCGAATAGATCGATTAAGGCAACAATATGCGGCTAAAATTTTCTGCAACAATCCTTCGTTCGTAGAGATGATAACTTTTGCAACGAAAGGAATTCGGAGGAATATAGGAACAAATTTTTTGGATTTTCGAATAAGGATAACTAAATTACAATAGCAGTAAGGTAGGAAACCAGAACCTGTTGCAATTCACGGGGAGATCAAAAGATGATCCGCCGTGGTGGAGATGACGACAGAATTCGACGATGATCTTTTAAGCAATTGTGGGCTGATGGATAGCTGAGGAAGGGCAACGAGACGCCAAGAATGCTGCTCTGATACCAAGTGTTTGAACCCTTATAGATTCTAAGCTCGGGATTGATCTCTTTAGGAGATCGACCTTCTTGGAACTCTATAGGGGTTCCTTCCTCCAAATTGCTGCTCAAAGATTGCAGAAAAGATTCATTTATTGCTTATGTAAAAAGGTCGAATACATGACTATTTATAAAGCTTCTAAACCCTAACTCATAATAGTACTCATACTCAAGACTCCTAACAACTCCTAATAGGACTCATATTCCTTTATAACACCTAATGCTTCTCTAAGAAATAACATTCTAACTCTAGCCAGCCTCTTCAACTCTTTAAGAAGGCATTGACTCCTTTTTCTATGCTTTTAAAAAGACGAATTGCATTTCTAAAAAAAACCCATATCAGATATTTTTCAAGGTTGGTAAAATACATATTGAACTGAAACATCATATGAAACCTTTCAATAACTAATATATTATATGAACTGCAGATACTTTTTTTCTCACTAATGCTGTCATTTGAATTTAGATAATGTAAAATGATGAAGTTACCATGACCAAAGAAATCATTGTTCCATTTAAAATACCAATATATATCTTGCTTCACACAGTTGACACTTTCAAGTGGGCTTGCTGCCGGAAAAGTTCAGTTCATAATTTCAAAGTGCATTAATAAGAAAAAGAAGAAAATATTAAGAGGCATTGTACTAGATTCCATCAGCTAGCATGCTTCAAATAGTAGACATAATAACAATGCTGGGGTTGACTAACAGCACACAGTCTCAGGGACTTCAATTACTACATATAAGAATCCTGGGGTTGACTGACAGCATCCAGTCTTAGGGCAGATTAATTCAGCTTGAACATAATTCTGAAATAAAGTTCAAGTAGCTGAACATAAAGCTTTTCTCATGAACAGAGATCATTAAACCCGGGCACCACGTTAGCAAGTTACTTGTAGTTCCATTTCAATTCTTTTTCGCAATGAACAGGCCCCATCTCTGTTCACCAGTCCAACTTCTCTTAAGCTTTGCCTTCCAGCCACTCACAATCTCGTCATAGTCTTCCTGCATTTCAATATTACCGGTGTTAAACTTTGTTTAGCAATAAAAACAAAGACAATACTTGATACAGGCTTCTACACTTTCAAGCATAGTCACCTGTGAGAAATCATGTATGAATGCTTCCTTATCCTTCTCGACAGCATCCAGTTCCTTCTGAAGAACCTCTAAAAACTGTAATAAGGAAAAGAATGTTAGTTACGGTATTGGTAATCATTGAACTATCAGAGATAAATCTGCATATGAACATGCATGATGCTACGCATAAACAACTAGGCATTCTGTACAAAGAGAGAGTAGAACCTGATTTGTCCTGTCTTCGGCAATGACTTCATGAAATCCAGCATCCCTTAGCATCTGACAAGATAAACAATTTCCATTGCTTTTGTCCTAGGTACGTCAACAAAGCATGCAGCTGAACGTCAAGTGGAGAAGCTAACCTGGCCATAATCATCGACGTCATGGAGATCATACCCTCTTTGCTTAATATACGCTGCAAAATCTTCTGACGGAGTCCCTGATTTCTTGCAGTAATCACTAATAAGAACCTTACCCCCTGGTTTCAACCACTTAAAAAAGCCTTTGAACAATGATGGTTTATCCTGAAGAAACAGCCAAATTTATCAACTGTCAACTTAATTGCATTTTAGAAAAAAGGAACAACCAGGTTATAAAAAGAATGCATTTTATTGGTGGTAGTAACAAGGTTGCTATGTATGTTGACCAATGTTAACATTTTATGAGTTCATGAAATATCAAATTGCAAATTCCACACAAAAAATCTTGTAGGATGATGCTAATCATCAAAAGCTCTATTTGTTAATGGAGTTGCATATAACTTGTTTGTTAAGAAGTTTCAGCACAAAAGTCTTCACCGGACGATAAAAAAACCCAGTTCTTGCCTTCTGATTCGAATCATCTGTCTAGTTAGTGCCAAATATTGGTTTATAGCTTACAGATCATGTCGCACATGCAGATACTATAATACTAAGCACTAGAATATGACATGATAGAAAATATTATGAAAGAAACACCTGTATATGAAGGATTGTATCACGGCTGTATATAACATCAAATGTGTTATCTGGATATGTTTTCTTTGTGCAGTCAGCAACCTCAAACTCTACTGAGCATTTGCGTCCAATTGCACGTTCAAGTGCAAAGGATATCATATTTATCGAAAGATCTATCCCAACCACTTCTACATCAAAGTTCTCAGCCATATAAAAGTCACCTCCCCCAATGCCACATCCAACATCAAGGACCTTCTGTCCAGGCTTAAGGTCAAGCTTTGCCACAAACTCTGTCGTAGTCTCTGATGAAAAAGTTTAAATAAGAAAAACAAGAATAAAGTACAAGAGATGAGGATTGAACACTGTCTCCAATATTTAAGACAAGCAAATTCATCAAAGAGACACCTGTTCTATCAAATAAATCTAACATTATCTCTGCAACAAGGCATTTTGGAAGTTACTAAGCAAGCATTAGCATTTGCCAACAGAACTTTTTATGATTGGATATGAGGATGTTTGTTCAATGGAAAACTGATAAGAAAAAAAGGAAGACCGGCACTACAGAAAAACTGCAAAGACAACTGAACAACTTCTAGATGCTCATGCAGTAGGTGCTGAAAATTATCTACAAATGAATGAATAAAGCAGGAGTAACACTCTTGATATAGAAGAGGTCTTCTTGTCTTTCACATGAGGCTAAAACAAACACAGTTGCTGACACAAGTACATCCAAATTTTCTTTAGTATCATCCTAAACTTAGGAATGAACAAAATGAACTAGATGCTAGTTAAGATCCAAGATAAAAAAGAAAGTTTTTTTCTTATCAAGTTTAGTTTTCAAGCAATCCCTAAGCGATGTGGTTATCCGGATGAGCTCTAAGTGATTGCAATAACTAAGCTTTTGGTTATGGAATTGTTGAATATAACATGGCATCAAACATATACATTTGTATATAAATTGGATAGGTGTAATAATGTATCCTGATATTTGTATTGTCTTTTTTCAATTTTATTCCTTTTCCAACTATAATTTATCTTTCAAGTTTCAAGTAGCTTCCAATATCAGTGTTACAATTATTAAATTTAAGGTATATTGAATTTGCAACACTAATTTTCAGAAAATAGTTGGACAGTCTAACAATGTTAATGTAACAGCAAATTCGGAAATTATAAAGTGTCTTCGACTACTTTGTAGTAGCCTAGGCCATCGCTTCGGCTTCACGATAGGCCTACCTAACAACTACAGTTATATGACATAGCTATTATTAAGATTTCTATGAGATTTACTTATATGGAGTACATTATTATGGTTGCTTAAAAAGTAAAAAAATCATCCCATCACTTCACCTTTATAGGCGATATTAAAAAAAAGTTGGTACTAAGAGATAAAAACAAGTGATGATTGCACATCAGTCAAATAAAAAATTATAAAAGAAATTTGCACAAACCAATTCCTCCCGTGCTCACAAAACCATCTCCAAAGATGCGCTCATATCGTAAAATTCCACTGCTTTTATATTGTACATTGTCTAAGAATAGCTGGAAACCCCTGTCATTATCTGACTTGATTTTTTGCCATATCCAACAGATCTACATTTTTCAGAAAAGCACATAAGAAACAGTTGACAGAAAAGCATCGAAACAATATCTGAGAGTAAAGGTTGAAAGACTACCTGATTTTGATTTTTCTTGTTCTTCACATAAGCTGCAATGCACTTACATGTGATAAGAGAAAGTTCAAAGGAGTTTCCTTGGACATCATACGCATGGCACCCCTTAAAAACCTGCATTAAAATCTCAATTCTGAAACTAAAATGATATGAAGAAGAATCCTATGTAGGGAAGAAAGAAAACACCCTTATAGAAGTGAAGGAACTCATATAAGAAAGCTCAAGTAGGTTAAAGAACAGAGAAAAAAAAACCTCTGTATGGATCAATTATAGTATAGGGGGATACTCTCTAAGCAGTTCAACATAATTATTCAATTTTATTTTGACTAGTTCTCTTAATAGTTTTAGATCTAGTCTCACTAATCTCGAATCAGAGTTCAGAAAGCCAGAGCAGAAGATTTCAATAAACAAATGTAAAAGTAGATGAATTACCTTTGTATAAAAACTTGGCTCCCGGTAATGTGTTGGGTTGACTTTCCTTTTCGAGTCACCGGATTGGTGGAAGCAAGATTCTCTAAAGAAGATGTAACCACCAACCTTCAGCCATTTTACCATCCTTTCCACCAGTTTTTCCACCTATGCAAAATATAAGCACTTTTAGATGTCTACAGAGGAAATAAATTCATTTTCAACATACAAAAGATAAGTAGAACTCCATGAATAAATCTGAAAACAGAAAAAGCTAGTCAAGATAGAAATTTAAGGGATGTTGGAAGTGGCCATATTAACTGGTATATAAATTCTCTTAGTACCAAAGATTTATAATTTTATGTTCATTTCTGACCGAAATGGACTAATATGTTGCAACTCATCAATTTGTCTCCCAAGAATCAGTACAGAGTTTCCTGTGGACTAGTAATAAACTAGGATGTCATACATATACTATGTAGAATATCTAAAGATAAGACGTCCATTCTAGAAATCACGTCAAACCAATAATTTCATTTTTGTATGTTGTGATTAACTGATTGCATCAGATAAGTCAGTGCACACTTATTTCTACAAATTTGTGATAATATCCAAATAACTTATTATTCAAATCAACTATTGTTATTTCCAAGGATTCCCATATCAACTGGGGCATATGGAGTCTTTTGCATGCTAAGGGTGTGCAGAATATTTCTGGCAAAATGAAAATTGATGGAGGTGATATATATGCAAATTGTAGATATTGGAAAAGATCAGATGTTCAAATGCTCCAATGTTGTCAGTAATGGTAAGTAAGCATGGAAAGCATAAATGTCTAGAAATTCAGAGGACAAATATAAACACCTCAAATATGTGTCCAATTATGTGTATATATAAACTCGTGTGAACATAGGTATGATAAACAAAATCTCAAAAGCAGATAATATTAATGAGAATAACAACATTAGAAGATAGAGATATCTACAAGAATGCATATTACCTCTTTATCAGAAAGATACATTAGTAACCAATTTGAGAATATCAGATCAAAAGAATCTGCTTCAATAGACAAGTCTGGAGATGATACATCAGCACACATAAAGCTTGTATTCTTATAGTGCCCATTCAAACTCTCATTCTGCAACAAACAAGAAAATGAGAATATTCACAATGAAATAATCCAAAATTGTACTAACATATTCTTGATGAAAGATAATTGGCTAGGATACCTTCTCAATCACACTTTCAATGAAGTCCAAAGCCAGAACATGACCAGCTTCTTTAGCTAGTTCGCCAGTAAAACGACCAATGCCAGCCCCTAGCTCCAAGACTGACTTTCCCTTGTAAGGTGGAAGCAAAGACAGGACCTAGAAAATGAGAATATATATTAGAGACCAGAACATGGGTTGTCACAAAGACACAAACCACCACTCTTTTCCAATATGTATGTATGTATGTATGTATGTATGTATGTATATCCATACATACATACATACATACATCACACACACACACACACACACACACACACACACACATATATATATGTGTGTGTGTGTGTGTGAGAGAGAGAGAGAGAGAGAGAGAGAGAGAGAAAGCACAATCTTCTTTTGCAAAGACTACATATTACTCTGCAGATGTAAGTTTTCAATTAGCAACTGACTAAAAACATTGTTCACAAAATTTTGATGGTTAATGAGAGACTATGAACCTCAAATTTGATGATTCATAAAATGACACTGAAAAGATCCATAGAAAAAACTAAAAGACTTATATTTATAACTTGAAAAATAATATGGTATATATAATTGTATGTGACATGTGGGATGTTAATTTGGGATCTTCAGATGTCCCATATCTGCAGTTCAAGACTAATATTTTTAGAACATCAAAATCATAAAGAATACGTATATCTCGTTTAGCATGGCAATTATTTTTTGTTGGCTCCTTCAGTCATTTTATTTTCAGGATGAAGTGTTTCTCTACTTCTAGAGTTCAAGCCATACATTAGAATTAAGATGGTTTTGGACTATTTTCTTTTTGGTTTGATGAGATCAAACAGATACGAGTGCCAAAAAAGCCTTTTATGCCTTAAAGCAAGACATTCTTGTGTGTAGATTTGCCATACTAGGGCACTAATGAGTTTAAAGTAATGACCATATATTGTTAATTGGACTTGAAGACCATAGGAAATATTAAGTGAAAATTTATAATTTTCACTTGTGTTTTATGCACCACAGCTAATCCATGTTGAAGCTAAAATATTCAAATTCTAATAACGAGTATAAAATAATTTAACATATAATAAAAACTTGTGTCAAGGTTAATGTTTTTGTGGTTCTGGTTGATCTCTGTCCACAGTTGTTCATCCTTGAACAAGATCCAGATTTGTCATAACTGATCTAGATCCAACTAACAGCTTTGATCAATGAAGATCAGAATACAGTATTTACTTAATGGAGATATTTTTCCCCGTTTTGAGATAATTGACTTTATTATTGAATGGATGCGATCCACATGAAACGGCCAAACCTTTGAAATCATAGCAATACTCTCTTTTAAGAGGTTGAAATCAAAACAGAAAAGGAACTACTTATCTTTTCCTAGATGTCCATCTAATTTCAGTTTGTGGCAAATCAAAAGAAACAAAACAAAACAAAACAAAACAAATCCAGATTGTGGATACAATCATTTGTCAGAAACTACGCTTGTTGACAAAAAAATGTGGTTTATCCATGTAATTTCGGTTTGTGGATACCATCTTTTGTCAGAAACTACACCTTTTCTATGTGATCTTCTTTGGACTTTTCTCAGTTTTTGTTGGACTAGTGTTTGATAGGGACCCCATTATGAGCTGGAAAGGCTTGGGTGATGATAACAAACAACATAATTTTTATGGAACGTTCTCTCTGTTGCATGGTGACACTCAAAACGTTTGCCAAAATTCCATAAGGTCCATCTATTTTAAAAAAGTCACTTGTTCCCCAAGCTTATGCTTTATTTTATTTTGTGAAGGGAGCACGCTAATGTATTATTAAGTTGACTTGCACCTACAAATGCACAATCGTACTGTTAGTAACAAAATCCAGTCAAAAGTTCAATTCAAGAGCTTCCGCATGAACTAAAATTCAAGTCCTCGAACGCTGCCAGAATGAGAAATACATAGATCAAGGAGACATATTGAGAGAAAAACTAAAAGGGAAAATGCAAAAAAAGGAAAAAGATCAAGCATTTGAATGGTGTGAGGAAGCCTATACCTCGGGCCTCTCTTCTTTGTCGAGTTCAGAGGCATGGGAGTCGAGCATCATCGCCTCCACAGTGAGTTCCTTGGAGTGCTCTATCCAGTAGATCTTCTGGACCTCGCGCTCCTCTCCCCCTGCCACGATTTCCACAATGTCACAACAAAATCTCCGTTAAGAGAGCAAAATGCGTCGAATAAACGCAAGTATCAGCATGCGATCTCGCCATCAACAACGTCATTGACAGAAGAAACCATTATTTCAAGAAAATATAAGAAGTTTTTAGGGCCGAAGCAGTCTCATCCGACCAACAAGAAGCAACGGCGGGTCTCTGATCTTACCATTGACGACGGCATTGGTAGGAGAAGACATTGTTTAATGACAATAATCTCTCTTTCTTGCTGCGGAATGCAGGGAATTCGAGATGGTTAAGATCCCTCGACGGCGAGGCGAGATCTAGAGAAGCTCCGAGACTGGCGATTATTAACCCTCCCCTTCTGCTGCATCAACTGCAGCCACAGAAAAGAACCATAAGACAACTCCGCTCTCCCCCACCCCTCTCTCTCTCTCTCTCTCACACACACACACACACACACACTCGCGCTCTACGATTCTATTTCTCAGTGCGATGTTTCCTCCCCTCCATGACTCCCTACTTATAGAAAGGGAGGTTGGAGGCGGAGGGTGGACGATGCGCCCAACGGAGGCCGCATAGGATTGCCCTTTTTGCATGTGTCCGCATAGTAAATTATATGCAAATGCACTAGCTAGAGGGCAGACGAAGTATGCGAGAATCCATTTCCGATTGGTAGAGCAGGTGGGCCCTGGCGAATGGGTAATCCTGATCTGTGGGGACATAATTTCGGTGACGAAAAACGAACGATTGGAGCATATGAGTAGTTTACCCGTCTCAGCTACTCCCCATGCGATCGGATGCTCGGTTGGGGCCCAAGAATCTATCTCCTCCAATCAGATGGTAAGTACCTAGCGGGTAGATTTCGAGCGCATTTCCAACGCAGGCATTTACACGTATACCTCCCCACAATATGCTATTTGGTTATTAACAAACCTAAAATATCTCTACTATTCTCTTAGCCAAACATATATTTAAGGGAAAACATGCAAATTAGAAGGGATGAGATATAATAATATATAATTTGGGTAAAAAATCGCATTGAAAATGGAGTGGGGTGGGGTCGCAGAGCACGTGACTACTGGATAGCACGTGGCAACTGGAGCAGGGCGAATCTTTTGGGGATTGGTCCGACGGATCCCGTGGTGTCACTTTTCCCCAGGATCAGATCCCGTGCTTGGCTCATTTCTTAGAGTACGACACGTCTTGTCGTATTCCACTCTATTGTCACACGTGGATTACAATTACTGGATTAGGAAGCGACGCTTTGTACGAACCTTAGGAACTGGATCCCACCCACGGCGCATCGCGGCATTATTGGGGGGTGACCGGTCCAATGGAGCTCAGAGACACATTAGAAGAGACAGACACGTGGTATGACGGGATATATATATATATATATATATATATATATATGTATATATATGTATATATGGATCATATCATCTAATTGATAATTTCAATTAAAAATAATCCGAATCTCGACAAAAAAAAAAAATGACGAATTGAATCGACCTCTGTGCAGATTCTGCTTCCGTGTATCTCTGCATCGAACAGTGTTGTGTGTCGTGTACCTTTCACATGAAATATCGATCGCTGTTTATCCGTTCGATCGAAACCAGCATTGTTTCAGGAACAAAAGCAAACAAGCTCCAGGGATCATGATCACTCTTTTAAATACAGCAATCGGAGTTCCATTTATGACAACTCTTTGTGTACTGTATGCAAACTCACAGAAAAGAGAGCTCAACTGGAGAACACTGTGCACTTTGGATCAACAACCTGACCACCTTCTCCAACAGTGTTGTCATATTGTTACTACTGGACTAACATTACCACCTACTTGGATTTAAGGACATCACTGTCTCTGAAGGAGAAGAGGAAAGCGTTAGCAATTTTGCCAATTTTGACTTTGATTCCTCTGATAATGTCATCACATAATAAGTATTGCATCGGAAAGAGTTGTCTGCTTGCTGTAGTGTGGTGTGTTGCACCAGTGGTCTCTTAACTATGTCTTGGACGAGTTGTCTGCTTGCGGCTATGTGACGTTGCGTGTTTCACACCGAGCCATTGTCCCCTACTAATTGAATAAAGAATATTTTCCTTTCTAGCAGCTAGCTATAAACTTGTAGATCCATCATTTGCCTTTTGAATTCCTTCGAATCTGGTTCTATGTGGCACCCTAGATTTGTTGAGCATTGAATTGAAGTTTTGGCTACAGTAGTCAGAAGTTTCAGAAACCCCTATAAATCCGACTTCAAGGCCATCAAAAGCATTTCAGAGCAGGTATTGGAGAAATGCAATAGTAATCCCTCGAATTATTAGTACCAATAGCTTAGTCGACATTCAAAACGACAACATTATAGAAATCCAATAAAGATATTCAATATTTTATATAGATTATATATTTTTAAATTTAAGCCAACTTGTGCTTAATAGATGTTAGCCTAAGTTTTTAAGTAGATGTTAATTAGGGGCGTATTTGAAAGAAAACTAATAGGGGAAAACACTCTATTTCGGAAGCATGTTCTAATATAATATACTCTTGATAGGTTCAAAGTGGTAGCACGGCTAGCATGACCAAATGGGATCGTGTCATGGAAGTGAAATTTCAAGTAATCGTCTTCCAAACAAACAAGATATTGAATGACCATGTGATGACTTATCTGACAAATAATCTAAAGTTCTGATTCAATCAAAAGCACAAATACTTAGAACCCACATCAACATTGATGCAAAAACCACAAAAATAAATTGATTGATACATGTTCTAATCAAACGTACTGCATAAGCCTTGAATAAAATCCAAGTAACTCAGAACAGTAAAGCCTTGAATATCAGTTGGGCCATGATTAAAGGCTTCAGCAAACATGTATCACAATCTCTTTGAGTTACAAGTTTACATTAACACTGGCTATAGAGCAAGTGGGTGTGAATCTGACTGCACTGAATTTGGCACAAAATAGAAACCAGAACAAATTAAAGCTTGCATTGGAAGGATGAACATCCATGCATGCAAACCATTCCCTCTAACCAAACCAGGTGCACGTAAACCTTTTTTTTAAGCACCAGCGGATAGTTCATACTTACAGGATTTGTTTCACTACAAATTGAATATAAAATGCAGTACAGAGAAGATCACGACCAACCTATATGGAAGATGAAAAGCTAGAACATCTGCTGTGATCATTTAAGTGTCATTTTACATCCATCTTTACTTCACATCACCTAGCAAGATGGATCTGAATCTGGGAGGATTTCGTGATCGTTTCCTAACAAATACCATTTAGAGAAATGGATTCCTCCTACTTTCATCCGCTTTTGACCATCAAATCCCAGATGCCTTGAGACCAAGCAAAGCTTCGTCATTCAGCAGAGACCTCACAGAACAATATTGATCCAAACAATCACCATAACATCTTGCTTACAGGAAATTCCTCTGAATATTTCCAGATGAAAAGCGAGAAGCCAACCCTTGTGCCATGTTCTCAGAATCAAAGTTGACCTTTTTCCGACCAGCTGTCAAATCTTTCTCACGGTCCCAAGGTTTCCAAGGGTGCATACCCTCCCATTCTTCTTTCTCAGGCTGCTTCACTTTCTTCCTTGGACGAGAACTCTCCTCTCGGTGCTTTTGCACCAGTGATACCGAGCGTTTAGAAGCATTATATTTGTCAACTAGTTCAGCATCCCTACTCATTCTTTTCCTTTCATCCTCTACGTCACCAAGAGCCTTAGCTTTATTATATGCTTCCAAATAACTGCAGCAAATAACATCACCAGCAATTAGAAACTAGAAGACACCCTCACACACACATGCACAGAGATACACAAAAAAAGTAACAAGTTCTAGTAAAAAGAATACAGAAAACTGCAAACATACAAGCAATTTACAGAACCAAAGTTCACCACATTCATATGGAAATGCCGCAATTGCAAATGTAAGCATTTTAGCAAAATTTAGGTTTTTATTGTCTGCATCCATTTACAAAGTGCATTCGCAATTGCAAGTTAAACCCTGTACTGTGTTTGCACGTGCAACTAAACTCTTCACACATGAATTACATGCTAATTGCAACTCATGAATAACAACTCCAACCATCTTATTTTGATCACCCCCATTTGCCATAGTCATCTGCCATTACCATTGTCACTCTCAACTACTGCCACCACCTTACCCATCATGATCATACCAACACCTTTCTTGTCACTCTTCCCAACCACATCCTCTTAACCATCACCTCTGCTACAAACCACCACTGCCCATCCCACCACCCCACTTTAACGAGACCATTCGCTTACTATTGCTCATCCTACAATCCCTCTCAACCACTGCCATTCATCTGACCATCATGATCCTTGCTGTCATCCTTCATAATATTTATTAACTATTACAACCTCTATAATGTACAGTAGATGAATGAAATGCAAATGCATATTTTGAAATAAAGATACAAGATCTGGAAAAATGAAGACCAACTTACATTTGCGAATGCAACAATTATAACCAAGGACTGAAGTTTGTGTCACTGGGTATGTGCGCCAATATCTTTCTTGCACAATACATAGACATGCAAATACCTTTAAGCACAGTACATACCAGGTCTTGCCAATTGGCAAGCCACCTGTGACGGCCAACACAGGCTTGACCATGTGGTGACATGTCCAGTACAACTTGGCGCATGTCTACCCATGCTGACAGCAAGACAACCCTTCCCTAAAATTATATCTAGGACAATTTAGAAGAACAAATTACTTGTATTATTAACATATATTCCCAACGTAATAGAGATTATAAGTTGCCATTGATACCCAATCACACATCTGTCATTAAAAATGAATTATTAGAACTCATAATTGAGGATTGCTCTACCATTTATCTTTATTCGGCATATTCTATAAAAGAAATTTATAGGCATGTGACATGTCAACTCATGCAAGTTATGTGATACTGTGATAATATTCCATTTAGAAAGGAGAAAATATATCAAAACTAAAAATATGATCAAACATGCACACGATTAGTAATGGCATACTTCTGCTTTGCTTGTTGTGCCTTGTCAAGGGGGCTGTCAGTCCAAATGCTAGTATCACCTCGGCCTTCTTTCGTGGTTCTACTGAATGAAGTTGATTGCATACTCATTCCTGGCTGTTGAATAATATAAAAATAAGTTATTTATTCATGAAGATGATTAAAACACCAAAATCATTTGGGATAACAACGAAAAAGATCCTTACTTTTCTTTCAGGAGGTAATGTTGTCATCCACTCATCCCTCTTTGGTGCCTCTTTTGGCATTGCAAGGAGCTCATCATCACCGTCAATGGATATACCTGCAAATATAGACCATCTTTGAGTTCATATTCCATGTCAAGGCCATAATGCCTGCTGCTGTGAGCTTTTAAATAGGTACCAACTACACAAATATGGATTATAACTGTTGCAAGACTTTTTTTTTAGAATTGTTGCAAGACTGAATAAGCAAAAAATAATCTGTAGGGTGAAATCCTGTGTGATTAAAGTTCATTATAGTAATTAGGACCAACAAATGTTGTCCTCTCCAAGTCTCCATCTGGTTGACTCAAATTGAATTTTAAAAATAAATGTGCCTACAAAGACAAACTAAGGCTCAGAGAAAGGGAGAATCTAAAAACATGGCGTGGTTGCTCATCTAGGGCCTCATTGGTAAAAGCAGGTGAATAATTTCGATTCTACAATGAAAAACATGGTAAATTAGCCGCAATGTCAAATCACAAATTCAGGTTAGACAGTTAAATATTAACCAATTACAAATCTTTTGAATATATAATCACACTTTAATACTGTATCTAAAGTAACAAGAAAGCAAATAATAACCTTGCAACTTTCTCCATTGTGCAGCTTCTCGAAGTGCTTGCAACTCCACCTACAAAATTATGCACGATAAATAAAAGAGAAACAATCCTTTTGCAGGACCATATTGCAAGATTGCATATGTTCTGCATTATTAAAAATTTGAAAGATCAAGCATCTGCAAATTAATTTCTCTATGATGCAACCAGGCACCACAATGAAAAAAAAGGCTCTATGAGTTCAAGCTGAGAAAAAGTTAAATGACAATCAACAAGCATTTACTCTTGAAAAAAATACCTTCATTTTCTCTTCTTCCTCTTTAAGCTTAATTTTCTCATCAATGTTTTTCCTCTGCAAAACAAGCAAATGGCTGCAACTTAATGAACTTGCAACTCATAAGAAATATTTGTTGAATGTCTAAACATGAAAATACTCATAGGCTCCTTGAACGGCACTTTAGTGTAAGGTATGAGAACAGAACTGCAATTTCCACTTAATAAAGTTTAACAATAATTAATATCTATAAGCATTAAATAAGAAATACAGAGAATAAAGAAAACAAGATTATCATATTCAGGAGATATCAACTACTTAAAACTTAGACATAATCAAGATTTGTGTTCCATGGCATGGGACATGCCACCATCTATCATGGAATGGCATTGTGCCATGCTTTAAGGAGAACTCCTGTGCTAGCCATCACATACCAAAATTTAGCCTAGCCATGTTTAGGCACTGCCTGCATAACTCAATATGCTAGTGTGCCTTCCAACACAGCATATGTCAACCTGTGTCGACCAGAAAAACAATCCCTGTTTCATGAAATAGGAATAAGATATTCCAACAAATGAATACAAATTTTATTTAAAGAGATGGTTGGACAATCATCGTTCCTAATTTAGGTCTACTCTTCCTCTCCATAGTTAGTAAATTAAGATCATCAGCACTTCAACCATTTAATATGTGCTCAATGTCAAAATATTTTATCAGGATGGAATGTGAACTAATCTAAATTCAAAATTAGAAGACATGAAATAATATCTATTTGGTAAAACGGACTTCAGCATCCCTTTTACACTGAGAATGATAGAAGATTAGAGCAAATGTTTGATTGACTCAGGACTATCACTAACAAAATATTGGTCAATCACTGCTCAATTACCAAGTTATTAAGCTCTGGTAAGTATGTCTAGCGTAACAAAACAAGAAGTATCAGCTGGGTTCCAATCAGATTAAACTCAGAGCATGGCATAAAATCAAGTTAATAACTGACAGGGACCAACTAGTTCTGTCCGGTTCCATGTAGAGTCTTGAATTAATATGAAACCAATTTGATTGCAATACTCTCTAATGGATCAATTTATGAGGCATGTTCATATACTGTCTCCATGATTGTAAAATTCTGAGCAGAAGGACCATATACTGTCCAAGTGCCTGCTTAAATTCATCAAGTTATTTGAGTCATGTTTGAACAGGATTTAGTCACAACAGGCTTTCTAGTCCTCATTTAACTATTAGGTTTATATATATATATATATATATATATAAGGTAAGGCTGTTATGAGTCACTGAAACTACCTCTTTAAATATTTAAAGGTAAGGCTACCTATATTAACCTCGCATTGGCAGGAGCCTCATGTACTGGGTGTGTCTTTTTTTTTTTAAGTCACAATAGGCTTCTTAGTTTTCATTTAACTATCAGGAAAACAAAACTTTATACCACAAAACTTTGGAATTGAAATTCATCCAGAAAGCACTGAGCAAATTTCATGGTAACAGAGCTCAAACGTAACACTTGCAGCTAAAAGTCTTGCCCTCTAAAGCTGTCCTGGTCAGTAATCCTCAAATAGCTCCATTAGAGAGCCAACATGTTAAAGCCAAAATAATAAAAGTTGCTTGAATAGGCAAAGCTGAACTAGCCAAAATAATACAAGTTGCTTGAATAGGCACAAAACTGGTTGATGTCAGTAATGTTTGATGCCCTAGCGTATATATCCTTTGAACATCAGAGCCAGACATTCATGCCCAGGCAAATCAGTTTTTCACCAAAGGAGAATTAATTCATTGAAAAGAATCCAATTTTCAGAACCTCATGCTTCCAAGATCAATTGGAAGAGATTAACGGAGGTCAAAATCATTGAAGTCCTAATTATGTGATTTCTAAGCTAATTCAGAAGAAAATTACTAGACGCATAGTATTCAGTTGGCATGGAATTCTGTGAAGACTCGTTAGATGGCATGCCGATGTCGACTAACTAATACCATGGCCAAGCTAAGTTTTGGTATATATCAATCAGCACAAGAGGTCTCACTCTGTACACAGTCATGAGATCATGGGTTTCGGAGTCCTGCTGTAAGTATCTACTATGCAGATTATGTTATCTTTGAATGTAAGGAGTAAAATTAGAAAAGAAAATTAACATGAGGAACAACTTATTTTAGCTTTTCGGACAAAATATCTTGGTTTTGTTTATTTTTCTTTTAGGCCTCCCTGAGTTGGTGAACCAGTAAACCATAGATTTCAGTGGACCAAAGTAGCCACTTTTTTTATGAATTAGAAGCATTAGGGTTTTTCACCCTATTTATCAAGTGACTACAACGAGAGAAGTCACACTTGAAAGGGGCTATGGACCCAGGATTTTACTAATAAGAGAAGATAATCTGAGGCAACAAAATTGGAAAGTCGCTTTAAAACTTCTGGACAACCAAGCAACAATTCGATGTATGACCATCTTCCCTCGTAACTTCTAATTCCTTCCTCTCACATTCCTTTTTCCTTTTATCAGTGACAAGCTTGCATCTGCTTGTCACTGTCACATTTGTGATCCATCCACCAGATGTAATAATCTGATGACAAAGGCAATAATTTCTTCCTTTATCACATTCCTTCTTTTTCTTTCTTAGTGGCACACTTGTGTCCACATGTCAATGTCACATAGCAAGCAATTCATTCACCTGCTGAGACTGGACATACCATCCATAAATTATTTCTTGATAGTTATACACACATCATGTTCATAGAATATTGGAAACCATCCATTAGTAATCAAATGCAGCTTGCAACAGAAATCTAAAGGGAATACTTACTACTACGTCAAATAGTTAAAGATTAAAAAACAATAAATAGCACATATGTTCTACCCAACTATTTCCCAGATTTTACAAATATCAAGTGTGTCCACCACAAGTCCTACAATGACAAATCCTGCAAGTCATGAAAAAATCCTGTTCAGAACTTCACTTTAGCCCATAATGCTCACTCTACAATTTCTACTGTCTCCTTCACAGGGTTCTAAGCAATTACATAATTACATAGGATGAAGGTTCAAAAATTCATAACAAAAATTATATCATTGTTCTACTGGTATAGAGATGCATCTGCAGGTCGAGTGTTAATTAGCAAACATTTCCAGGTTGTTACTATATTTGTATCACATCCCTACCTATATTCCTTCTTGGGCGATGAAATTGATTATTGAAAGTCAAGAACAGAGTCAAGGAACATAATGCTTAGAAATAGCATTGACTATGTAGATTGGGAATTAATTAGTCAAGTACTTTCTGAATTTAATATACCAAGTGCTCTGTAACCAAATCCTCCTAGCATCTACAAGCCAAACATTAGCTTATAATCTAGCATATAAACTTTACATCCTTTGCAACACAGGGCACATATGTGCAGGTCTGTACATGCATCCAATGACCTATACCAACACCTAATTAATTCTACAGCCACAGAATTAATTCAATTAGAAGTCCAAAACTTCCTCCCAAGATGTGTATTAGTGCAATATCAGTATGGTTTCACAAATTTTGTAAGAAACCATATGGAGAACACAATAAAAATGTTAATATGATTAAGGTTCTAAATAAGAACAATCAGTATAGACTTTTACACTTTAACATTAGATATACATACATATGTATGCCTATTTTTATGTATCTATATCTGTATCTTCCTACATTTATGCATATATGCATGACCAGGGTGTTTGCATTAGATTTCCACCTTCAAACTATTTGTCAAATCTAAAAGAAATAGAAGGATATGACTTTCCTCTTCAATACAAAATAAGCTTTGGTGATGCTTTTCGGAGAAGCACTTCCCCACCCACACCTTTGTTCACACAAACATAAAGCAAAAAAGTGATTGTGCAATGTTCATGCATTAGAAATACCTTGTCAGGATCTTGTAGATCGTTGAAGGCTTGGTTCAACAACACGAATGCTTGGTGTGCTTGAGGATGAGAGCATTTGTCTGGGTGTACCATGAGAGATAACTTCCAGTATCTAGAAAATAGATGTATTAGATACTCCACAGAAAGAATATGATTACCTTTTCAACTATTTAAAGTAGCATAACCAATTGGGATGCATGTTGGTAAAAAGAGTAACTGTTCAGAAGGCAGATTAAGCTTCACTTTTACTAAAGAGTAGATAGAAATATTTCTCATCATCATCTGATATCATTTTGTATCCTTAGCACAGAATGCAAGAGAGTCTTTTCTTTGTTTTCATAAAGTTTCCTTACAGTAGATTAAAAAAAAATGATATACAGCTTAAAATAATAACAGAAATTCCATTATATTGACCTTATCATATGAAAGAGAAAATGGATGGCAAACAACATTTCTCACCTTTTCTTGATGTTATCAGAGGACATCTTCCAGTTGACACCAAGTATGTCATATGGTTTATCAACATCAGCACCAACAATTCGAGCTACCTGAATAATACACCATAATTATAGGAATCATTGCCCATGACTTAAAATAGCAGGCATGCAAATTCCGCATCACCATAAGCTAATTACCTTCGGACACCTAACAAACTACTAACTTGAATGTTTTCAAATCAAGCAACAAAATCATGACACCACAATAAGTCCACAATGTAACTGATAAATTTTCAGGCAAAAATCTGCACCTCATGGTCTTGTCTAACTACCAAATAAGTTACCAACATTTTTTCTACTCTTGGAAACAATCAAGGCAGCTACATGATTCATTCTGTCCCACAATAAGATTAGTATGAAAATATTCTGAATGGTGGAACACAGCTTCGTACAAGAACTTTCTATAGGTTCAAGTATTGAAGTGTATAAGTTATGACAAGATAATGTACAAGCAAGAATAATGGACATCTTAACGTAAGGCAACGACCATGCGTTTCTTTCTACTGTTTCAAATAACAAAACAAGTTTAAACAGTTGCTGAAGTATAAATTCTTGAAAGCTCAGCCGGAGACCTTGCACTCAGAGACAAGTAATATATTTCATAGCAGCATAAAGAGAGGACTTACAGATAGATTACATAATAGACAAATCAGCATTAGATATTTCATCCAAGTTCAGATAGAGACAAAGCATGGCTAACAGATTCCACAAAAAGTCAATCAACGGACACATTATTTTAAATAGACAATAACAACAACAAAGTCGTAAATTCCAACTACTTTGGATTGGTTATTTTAAATAGGCTCATTTATAAAATACTTTCATTATCGAGAGGCCAAAACCTGAACACTCCTCAATAAGGGCCCCCATCTTAGACAAGGGCTTTTCAGTTTCTGTTAATTTCAGATATCTTTTCGTCCATACTATTTCAGATTTGTAGAGCCATAAATCAAGTTATATGTTCCTATCTTTGAGTCTTATTTAAGGTATAGACAGAGTCGAGAAAACTTTAAACCATTAAAGTAATATTTAGAGCATTCTAAACACTTTATGGGACCTTAAGATTTTTTCAAAAAATTATTTTAGTTATATATATATATATATATATATATAGCATACTGGAATAGATAGGTTACTACATATCAAGTTGTTGATAAACAGTCCGATATCAGTTTCAATAACCTTTCGGATGGGTATAGCACCTCTACACATAGCAATATACTGACCTATTCGGCATTAACGGAAAATAAATAGGAGCAACATAAGGAAAGTATCAAGTTTTATGGCCCATTACCAGTGATTACAGAACAGTATTTGAAACCATGCTACATAACAATACAGAGCCTCATGAACTGAGCTACCCTCTTTTAATATACATGGCATATTAGGGTCCCTAAAGGCTAACTTGGTGTTGGTTATTTCGTTACTACAGCATATATATATATATATATATATATATATATATATCATAATTTATTAGTATATCCTCCTAATTTATTAGTTATTCGAAGACCAATTCTTCTTGAATTGGAGAATTCTGATAGGAGGGGTATATCCTTTCATTGTGCTTTAGAGTGAGGTGATTACAGTGACGGTGAAAACCACAACAGCAATGTAATATGCAGCTACTTGAGTTAAAACAATACCCTCAACGGTCTGACATGCATGTTGAGGAGGATTTATGAAGACATCAAAAGCATCACCATGCACATAGAAAGAATAGAAGGCGAATTGATTGGAGACATGTAAAGATCATCACAATCCTATGCCCATGACAAAATCTCTAATAATTGAGTGCTTTATGACTTCAACACTGACAAAGCAAGCTCCAATGCCTATTTCGCCATCTTCTCCATATCAGGAAGTGCTTTCTAGAGGCCCTAACAACTTGCAGATAATCATGGAGAAGAATCTACAGCATAGTAAAATTTCAGCCTGATGAAAATTGATCAGTGACCGAGTACTGGACCAGCAATTGGTCGGCTCAATTCAGACTTTGCCAGCATCTACTCGACTCTTAGAAAGCACTACATGGAACAAGGACTTGAAGATCCAGCAGCCCTCGAGTTTTAATACCATCATAATAGCTTTATTTGACTCCTAAATCAACAATTTCAGCACCAGCAAGAGAAAAAAGACAAAGGACAGCAGAAAGTAATTTTTGTAGAGCAATTGTCTACACTATTTGAAGACATGGAGATTGATTTCATACGGGAGCAAAGGATTCCTTATTGTCAGCTATAATTTAATCTTCCTCAGAATGAAAGAAAACCATGACAACCTTCCTCAGGATTAAAAAAAGATGGAAAAGATCAAGGATATGATTCCTCCCTCTCTCTCTCTCTCTCATATGCAGGAGGCCAACTCACCTCAAAACAGAAAATACCAGACAGAATCCTATCAAAATGGCATCAATTTTTTGCTTTCTCTCTAGATTTAAGAGTTATCAAAGAAAGATGTTCTTTTCTTTATCAAAGACAGATGTTAAGGAACTAAGTACCATTATAGAAGTTTCATGAGGCATTTTTCAATGAATTAAATTAGACCATAACACCAACTTAAACTTGGTGTTCAAAATAAAAACAACAAAAAAAAATGCAGCGAAGAAAAAAAATGAAAATTAATCATAAAGAAAATGTGCTGTCCTGCCCAGTTAAAGAGAGTGCAACTAGATGAAAATCATATTAACGAGTGTTGTTGCAGAAAGAATACATCCTCCCAAGTGCGGAAAGCAACTGTCCAACATAAAGAGGATGAGGAAGCTATGGACATGCCACAAAAGTATCATTGGGATAATTGGAGCAGAGAACCAGAAGAGCATATGATATCTAGTCAGATTATTCTATGTTAAGTAACATGACAGGAAATATTACAGATCACCTACAAACAAGTGAAAGAATTATTATATTGAGGAAATTAACACAAAAAGAAATGTGGAAGCATTCAAGAACATCAGTTCAACACACTCATAAATGAGAACCTTCATAAAGAAAATTGATAGGAAGTTTCTCATACCTCCTCAAAGCGCTCAGCTTCATTTGCAGATGCAGCTTCAGCAACCATGGCAGGTGGAGGAGGCCCAATAAGCATATCATTGTCAATTTCCAGGTGAGCTTCCCTGGAAATTTTTATAATGTATTAAAAGAACTTGAATTGACATGCACACTTTACTCAATAAGCACTAGCTGTCCATTGTGCAAGATTGGCAATGAAATGAGAAACAGACTCACTAAAATACTACAACAAAAAACATTCTGACCAACTTGGGCACAAACATAAGAGAAGTAACATGTGTTCAAGTACCTTAGCAAACTCTCTGCCTCCATCAGTTCAGCAGCAGCAGCCAATAATTCATGAGATGGCATTTCAGGTCCAATTAACCTGCCAAAGAGCGTTCACTACAATTTATCACACACAAGAAAAGTGAGCTGATTTTCCAAAAAAGGGACTAGTAAAATGCCTGTGACATGTACCCCCTACACTAATCCTAGATTATAAATTTATACATGCCATGTTGCATCCAGAAAGTAACATTTCTTTCATGTGCTCCTTGTCCATAATCATATCAAGTATCCATATTGGAATAATATGATGTAGGAACAATTGTATTGTGCTGATATCTTGCCAGCATACTAAAAGAGAGACATTGCGAAGCAGCATGGGAAATCCTTGTTTCCAAAATTCGCTTGCATGAAAATAGCCAATGATACCATATAAAAGCAAGTAAAGGGATCTCCAACATTTATGTCAATCTAAGACATCTGTTTTATAAATCTAGAACAGTTTTCTAAAGAGGTTGGGCATAAAAATTCCAAAACAGTTTTATTGAAAATGCCGACACAACAATAAGTTGGAGTTCAAACTTAAATAAGCAACCAACTAGAACAATTGGTACTAGATCCAAACCCTTGATTTAACTATCCCCCAAGAATAGAACCCTTCACACCAAATCATCAATTGAATGAGAATAAATGGGTAGCTAGTACACCTAAAAATATACAACTAATATAAACTAAGTGGAGCTAACTACAGAACAGTAAATATGCACACAAAACATGAGCAGGTACTCCGCCATCACTAGAAGTATGGAGCATGGGTATAGCTTAAAACCATTTAAATAATATCCAACTTATAAATAATAAAATTATGGATATAGGATAAGTCTTATCTTAGAAAAAATAAACTCAACAACTTCCTCATCGGTTTCCTCAACCATGAAGTTGCCCAGTCTTGAGAGAGAAGAAAAGATTATACCAGCCATATTTTGCTTATTGCAGTTACCAAGGTTCACCTTATCGAGCATTCAAATCCATGTTAGTTCTGACATACCATGCCATCAAGATACTAGCATGAGACACTGGTACATCCAGGTCCTTGGTTATCAATGTGAGCATGCGACCAGCATAGGATCAAACCATGCTAGTGGCTTACCTGCATACATCAACTATATTCTGTTTATTGCAGTTACCAAGGTTCACCAAGCCGAGCACTCAAATGCATGTTAGTCAGGACATACTATGCCATCAAGCTACTAGCATGAGTCATTGTGATGCATCCAGGTACATACATGTCATTGTAAGCATTAGATCAATCATGTTAGTGACTTACCCATATACCTTAGCTCTATAACAGTTCTTTTAGTGTCTACAAGTATGTGAAAATTCGAAGTCTAGTACCCAACAACAACCAAACACCAAACTCCTAGGGAAACTAGAGTAAAGAAAGCAATTGACAGATATCATTTTCCAACAATAAAATGAGATTCCTAGACATAAAATAGCACTGACCTAAGATCATCCCTGCTACATGACATAAGATACTAGATTCTACCATACTTTAGAGAGCAACATTTATGATGATCAGTTGAAAGATCAATCTAGACTACAACAACAGAAACAGTAGCCAGTTCACAGATTCACGATTAGGAATCATTAAATCAAATTAAACATTGAGTATAAATTCCAAATCCTAAGTGAGATCTTATGAAATCAGAACTTGACCTAGAGAAAGCCAATCGCTGATCCAGCAGAAGGTGCAGCTTAGATCCAGATTGAATCAATATTGTTTACAAAATTGAGCCTAAAATGTAACACCAACTGTCATTATTAATCACGTTTTGTTGTATTATAAAATTAACATGATTATAGAGTAGGAAAACATGATCCACTAAATTAATTATCTGGTTGTCTTAAACAATCCATTTTAGGTCACTATTTAAAAGGATTGTTTCCCCTTCTAAGTGTCCATTACAAACCTACATAGAAAAAGTGAGTGATTACTTGTGGGTGTAAATTCAACCAACACAATTAGAAAGGATAAAGTAAAGACAACATTCTGAGTGGCTACATAACAGGAATGATAGCACAGCTGCAAAACAAAGATGGTAACCGAAAAATTCAAGCAATAAAACAAAGTTCTCCATCTCAAGATGGACAACCTTCAAACGATAGAAGCCCATATCACCTTCTTCTTCCAGGAGTAGGTAATTCATGGTTTTCTTGTGCTTCATCCAATTTTGCATCATTACTATCAGCTTTATCCTTCTTATGAATATGATCTGATAGTGAAGGTTGTTGACTATCACATGCTTCAGACATAGAACAGAGATTGTCTCTACTTTTCAAATGTGACAATAATGTCATACCGACAATGTCTAAAGTAGGAATACCCTTTGGAGGTAATAAATAAACTCCATTATTTCTTTTGAGCCTTAGAGACTGGAAAAGCTTCTTCAGTATTCTCACAAGTGACCTATCAGAAATTCCCCCAACATCAACACCCTGTCCACTGTCAACCATTTGAAGAAGCTGCCACAATGGGGTACAGAAATATTAGAAAAGCAGTTGAGAAAAGAGAAACACACACACAGACATGTATATATATATATATATATACATATACATATATACATATATACATATATACATATATACATATATACATATATACATATATATATATATATACATATATATGTATACATATATACATATATATATATAATGCGAAAAAGAAATTAGGATTCAAGATGTAAATCAATAAATGTTAGACATGATATCCAATTGAAGTAAGATAATTTCTAATTTTTGAAGCTTCATTTTCCTTCAAAATTGGAGTCCATGTTACAATAAGCAAGAATTCCATTCAAATGCAAGTTTTAAGCAGCGTAAATATATACAGGTGCATGGCTAAGAAACGACCAAGAGATTATACTAGTCACTGTTTGAAGATAGCAGTAATACCACTTATAAAGCCTATGCCTGCCACAATGACCTCACGCTGATGATAAACGATGAATGAGTATCAAGACTTGAACCATCTTTCACTGACTAAGGTCTACAGTTCCAAACATTACAAAAAGTAATAAAAAATCCTGATAATAAGGCCACTCTTTAAAAAGCCCAAATTATTCAACCACATGTATGAAAGAGATGTCCCTAGCAGCCATCAGATTGGTTACAATAAGTGAGCAGTTAAGTATCATAATATTCGGTATCCATTGACTCCATTGGATATCTCTAAAGTTTAGAGAAGTGATAGTATTTAGCCTGGACCAGTGTCTCCAGCGACATCAGACTGACATTAATCTAACTGAATAAGGCTTAAATTGGCCAGAAAAGAAGTTCTTGAAGGAAAGTTAGTTTGGATCCTTATAGTTAGGTTCATGAGGATCAAAATTCCGTGGTTTCCTTTGGTTTACAGTCAGTTTCGCAAGCTCAACAAGGGAGCGGCAGCAACATTTGAGGTCTCAACAGTAATTTTGACAATTCTAGAATTTTCTTTTCGGTTCTTTTTAGAGAGAGAGCAGATGGAACAAATCCCTAAACAGAGAAAACTGTACGAGCATAAACCTAATTTGTGTCAAGACGATGTATAGAGAACCTGTTTCAGATCATCAGCGGCGTTGGGGAACTTCCGTAGGAAAAGGCGAACAATCGATTCAGGTTTGAGCGACCGAGGCTCAGGATCATCACCAGAAGAGGATGAAGAGCGAGAATAATCAGAATCATCGCCTTCATCATCGTCATATTCCCTCCCACTCAGCCGCCGCCTCCGCTCCGACTTCCTCTTGTGCCTCCTCCTTTCCCGTCGCTCCTCCTCGTTCTCTCGCGTCCGTGAATCGGCCTTGCTGCTGCGAGAGTGCCTGCTACTCTTGCGCCTGCGGCTCTCCTTGTGACGGCTGGATCTACTCCTTTCCTTCTTGATCTTCCTTTTCCTCCTATCGGAGCTCTCGCCATGAGAGGAAGACGACGACGAAGGCGATGAGGAAGACGAGGAATCGGGGCTTCGATGGCGTTCGGAAGTGAGACGATCCCGCCCCATACCCAAAAGTGAGTTCCTGCCTGGAAGCGGGTCGACCCCTTAAATTCTGTATTAGGGATCGCAGCAGCTCGGGTCGGGTTTGCTCTCAATTAACTAGATCCGTTTAAATCCGTATTGCTTCGAGATTCGTCATCTTTGATCAACATCAATTTTTTTATTTCTTCAATATTTATTTTCTTGTGGTCGATTTCCCCGGAAAACTCTTTTTTTTTTCCTTCTTTCCTACTCCAATCTATCTTAAACTCAATCTAAGATTTGATACTTTAATATGACTTAAGTGTGTCTGACAGATGTAGATATAAAAATATATTTATTTTTCCACGTGAAAACATCTCCAACCTAATTATCGGGTTTTTTTAATCGATTTAAGCGGATTAGTTAAAGCCGATACCCGATAAAATCCGATCTCAACAATACTCTTGCACGAATCTTGATGCACTAACCCAAGGTCTTCCCACCCACCGCCGTAAGTCGCTCATATCTATTCTTGCGCGGATCTCAACAGTTAGTTCCTTGCACGAATCTTGACGCATTGATTGTAGGCATCTCAACAAGGTCCTGGGCACGAATCGTGAAGCACCGGTCACCTCCCTCGACCCCGCGCGCGAAGAGTAATTGCCTTTCATATCCCCGTCTCCGTTCGAGAACACGAAGAAACCTTCTCTTAAACCCTTTCCATGCATAACCGTGTCTCGTTCATGAATCTGCCTCGCAAACGACGCGTTTCAATTTCGCCTCCTTTAAATCCCTCTCTTCGACCGCCCACCGAAACCCCGATTCCTCCACGTTCCATCGAGACCTGACGTCGTCGGCTGGTTCTTGTGGTTTGAGAGTTGAGACAGGGTTGAGATCTTGGAAAGAGAAAAGAAATCCGATCTTTCGGTTGATTTCTTCCGGTTTTCGTTTCGTTTCACTTCGTTGGTAGGGATGGAAGGGTCTGGGGACGACACCGACGCCCTATGCCGTAAACGGAAGTGGATGGAATCGCCTGCAGACGATCCGTGAGTTCTTGCTTCCCCCTCACTCGTTGTTCGCCCTCTTGATTAGGTTTTGATTGTGCATTGGGAATTTGAGGTTCTGATTCGAAATTGTGTTTCCTTTTGGGAAACCACAGTGCGGCTATGGCAAGCGGCAGTGATGGAGATCAGAAAATACGATTCCAAGATGCTGTGTGGTTCTTGGAGGTTTTGAAGGAGAACCTTGATGATGACAAGTATCAAGAATTCCTGAAGACCATAAAGGATATGGGCTCTCAAAGGTTTAGCTTTGTAGGCTATTTCTTCTCTATAAAATTACCACTTAAATGACCAATTTATTGTTGATCTTCAATATTACATTTTGGTGTTGATTGCAGAATCGATCCAGCTGAGTGTTTCAAAAGGGTGAAAGCGTTGCTTCAAGGGCATCCCGACTTGATCCTTGGGTTTGACAACTTCATGCCAAAGTGCTGGCGCCGGATGGAGCCTTCGACATTTGAAAAGAAGCCAAACTATAACGATGCCTTAGCTTTTGTTTACAAACTGCGAGTAATTCATTATCCTTCTTTTCTGAAAAGTGCTCAACTACCTATTTTTGCATCAGTTGTTTCTGCAGTCTCCCTAATTTTTTTTCCTTCCTGCAGAATCGCTTCTCGAATAATGACGAGAGGTATAGGTCTTTTTTGTATACCCTGAGCATGATTTGGACTGAGCACAAGTCCCTCGATGAAGTATTCGAAGAGGTTTTTCGCTTTTGCCATATACCATTTATGTTACAATTTCAAATTTTGTTTCTGGAGATCTCTCAAATCATTTAGTTCTTCAGGTAATGGTGCTATTTCAGGATGACAATGACTTGCTTGAAGAGTTCTGTCGTTTCATACCTTTTGGTTCAGAAAGATTACCTTCTCATCATGTGTCATCTGTTGGACCTTTGAGGCACCACGATGAAGGGAAACCAACATATACGAATGATGCTCAAGGTGAAGAGGTACTGGAGTTTTGTTAACTTCTTCTCAGTATTCTGGATGTGTGGGTCATAAATGAGTCTGATTACATGTAGACGTAGATTATAAGTGAACAACAATCTTCTTTATTGCATATGGTCACTAATGGTATATTTCTGCATAGGAAAAGACTTTAGGAAGTAGGAACTGCTTGGTAGTGATACCCTGTTGTATTCAATTTAACATACTCTGACATGACACATTGTGTCTTCTAGTTGCTTCAGAAGAAACAAATATGCAATTCACATGCTGAAGGTGAATTGAACAATGAATTGCATGACCTAGAGCACAACAAGAGAAGAAAACACCTTCAGAGAAGTCACAAGGATCGGAGAGAGTATGAGTCAGCCAAAATGGACATGGAGCATGAAAAGGATTTGAACAATATGCTGCTGCAGAGAGGTGAAGAAAGTACTTGAAACTTTCTAATTCATTGTAATAAAAGCTTTTTCCTAAGAATCATAGGAACATTGTGCATAGTAACTTGGTAATTAATTAGTGATTCATGCATCACAGGACTTTCTATGTGCATTCTCATTGAACATAGATGCTAAAATGTCCACATACATGTCAATTGTTTTTAGTTTCAATTGTTAATTCATCTTCGTTCCTGCTCAAACCTTTTACTGAAAGAAAAAACTGTGAGTCTTTTGTAACTGGCCTTTGCACATATATGATATTTATGATTTTTCATTCTAACTTTAAACAAGATGTTGTTAATTCTTTCTTAAGATATGCTGTTATGATGAGATTCTGAGGGACTGTAGTTATAGTAGTATTGCCTTTACAAACCAAACAATTGCAGGCCTGCTTGCAGTTGCTACATCATACCTGCATCAAATACCAACACCTTCTCCACATCATTCCAACAACATAAAGGTCTTGTTAAACATACTCTACATTTGATTGTGTGCCCTCTCTCTTAGATTTGTTAAATGTCCTATTAGAAAAAAGCAGAAAAGTGGTCAGGTTTACCTTTTCTTTTTAACTTGCTGTATGATGACTGAGGCATTTCTCATGTATGATCTAGAAAAATCCCACCTCTCAATATCTATAAGCTGGTAACTAGATTTTGGCACCAAGTTACCGTTTATCTTTCATAGTTGTTGTTTCATCATGCCGACAAACCTCCTTGCGCTATTTAGTTATAGTATTTTATCATAAATTACTGTATGAATATTGCAATCATGTTATTTTTCCTGCTGTGTGGCCCCTTTCTTATGAGGAAGATTTCCATGTGGTAAAAATGATAAAAGGGACAAAATAGGAGTATGCACAAATATACCATGTACTAGTGTTGTCAGGGATGTCACATTACAACATTGTAGGAACTTGCATATTATGGACAACATTTATAGTAACTTGCATATTATGGATGTTATACAAAACATTGTATTTTTATCCACATTACAACAATAATAACAAAAACAAGCCATAGTGCCTGGGGTCTATTACATCTCTTACTCTCTTACACAACTAATCCTAATCAGCTTCACTGACTAGTTGGAGCATCTACTGATCTCCTTTTGATATTTCAATATTATTTTAAATACTTTTCCTCATTTTATTTTCCATCAGAGCATCACCTGATTGTTCAAGGTTGTATATTTTTCTTATTTTGTTTTTTCTAGTAAGCTGCACATCCACATTAATATCCTCATCTAGAAAACAGTGAACCCTGAGCACTCAGCAACATTAACTTGTTGTGTGTGTGTTTTTTTCCTAACCATCCAATATTCCTATCACATTTATTTAAAATTAATTTTTAATTTGACCCAACGGTATTCAGATTTTTTCTTATCTCCATTTTGACTTGATCACAAGCTTACCAATATTATTGTCTGATTGCTAATCAAAATCAACATGGGTTAGTCTTGCTTCAAGATGACTCAGCAAATCCAGTGGAGTTCGATACCCATTTAAGGTCATTATTCCTTCTCGTGGTGGTGACCAGTAGGATTCCCATGACCACCAATAACCCACTAGAAACAATTAATTTTTTCTTCATTTTTATCTTGAACATATATAAATAAATGTATAATATCTTTCTCTGATATTTTTCTTTGAGAAATAGATCTATTAAAAGGACAGGTTGTGAATCTGAAGAAACCTTGATGTAAATTATGTCCAGTTCATGGATTTATAAACTATTTAGTGCAAAGTTATTATATCAAATAAAGACTTGATTGTAAGTTTGTAACTGTGAAAGATATGTTTTTTATTAGAGAAGAACAAGAAATATATTTAAACAAGTAATTATCATCAAAATTGATGAAATATACTCTTACCTTGTGTTTGATAAACCCATGTCCAAATATATGTTATCGTTCAACTTGGTGTGACATCGAAATCAAGGCCATGTTGCAGAAAGAAGAGGATGGGAAGGCAGTAGGAAAACAGTGTAGGTGTTACTTAGGAAGATATACGCCATCACTCATTCACAAGTATATATATCCCATCCAACATCCACAGTATATGGCGAAGGTTTGAATAAACTTGTAATGCAAGTTAATGGGATTGTGACTTTATATTTTAAGTGGACACAGATGTAAAATAATATAAATTGGTGGCATCATTTGACATGTATGTGTGCATGTGGATGTATGCAATCAACCATTGACAAGTATATACATCTCATCCAACATCCACAACCTATAG